GAAATAAGAAAACGGAAGGCTAATTGGATTGGTCATGTTTTACGCAGAAACTGCCTTCTAAAAGAAGTTATTGAAGGAAAGATAGAGGGGCGGATAGACGTGACAAGAAGACGAGGAAGAAGACGTAAGAAGATGATGGATGACCTTGGGGACAGAAGAGGATACTGTCATTTGAAGGAGAAAGCTCTAGATCGCAATAAGTGGAGGAATTGTTTTGGAAGAGACTGTGGACCTGTCGTCTGACAGATTAGTGATGATGATGATTATTATTATTATATTTGCAGATACACATTGCTCCACTCAACTGGGACGTATTAATTAAATCAACAATATTAAATATCGCTTTAACTTTTAATTAACTAGAAGGATTTATCTTAGTCTACATTTTTAAGATATAGATTCGTTATGTAGATATATGTGTGTGTGCCGATCACAGTCGAAGACGCGGTATAAGGTATAAACTGTCTTCGCCCGCTGGAACACTGGGTTCGTGGGTTCGAATCCCATTTGAGGCATGGATGTCTGTGTGCAGGTAGTGGCCTTGTGACTAGCTGATCTCCTGTCCAAGGAGTGCTACGTTTGTGTAAAAGATCAGGAAACTGAAAGAGTGGCCAAGGCCCAACAAAGGGCTGTAGAGCCATAGATAGACAGATATATGTATTGCAAATATATACAGTGCTTCCAATTCATGATGGTAAAACCTCTGAAGATGGGCAAGACAGGCCGAAACATGTAAGGTAATTTGTCTATTCCCAATAAACTAGTCATATCTGAAGAAATATATATATATATATATATATATATATTACGCGTTAAGTGAAGTTAGCCCTGTACTTTATTATTTAAGCACTATGGTATGAAGACATATCACGGAGTGGGGATATAGCTCCACCTTTCTTCACCTCGGAAGTCGTTGCAGTAACATAATACAAACAAAGAAAGGGATGGAGTAACTGACGTAATTAAACCTGCAAATCATTTTCGCGGTGTAAATACTATTAGCTTAATAGTCGAACTTTCTAGATGACAATAGATCATTGAAGGTTGCAGTGCGGGGGCCGGTTTTTGTGGCACGTAATTCCAGTCCACGCTCTATATATTAGTACATTGTTGGACATGTGAGCCGTACTCGCTTAAAAGGTATCGCGAAGGGCTACGGGTTGGAC